GTTTTTTCCTTTCTGGTAATCCCGGGTAGAGGTGTCAGAGTCAAACACAGTTAGATTCACCTGGCTTTGGGTAAGAAACCTAATATCTGAAAGAAATAGGATGGACCTCTACAAGCTGATTTCTGAGAACTTTGCCCAGGGAAAGGACCATCGCAGAAGGGAGCCAAAAGCTCTGAAGGCGAGGATGCTGCCTCCCTCTCGCAGGAGGCCTCCCGAGGCATGGGAGAAGACCATAACAGCACGGGGCTTTTCAGAAGCTCATCGGCCTGTGTTATTGGTAGGAGCTTCTTAGTGTAGCCCTATTAAGACAGGTTTGACCTCCTTACTCAACAGACAGGCATTCACCTGTTTGGCCAAGGAGTGTCACTCTTACCTACAAAATAAACTGGGTACTCACGTGCTGACGTCATCACTCTTTCCTGCTTTGCTGAAACCTTTTTTGAGAATAGTTACATAAGAGATAGAAAGGATGGTAGTGGCTATGAAACCTTTTCCTTGCTTAGCAGGGAGGTGTGTGCTCTGCAGGCCGTAGTGAGCAGCCCTGCAAAAGAATCAGAACGGATGATATTGGTTTGAGTCAATGCACATGGTGTCACTTGTTTCAAAAAAGTTTTGAAGGACCACCGTTTGTTTTTGACCGGCTAAGTCTAGTCATTTCTAACCATGCCTATGTGTGTTTTTCTGGTTGGGGTTATATCTCTGGAAGAACATTTCTTAGCACTTTTAAATCTGCAGCACCACATCTGGACCTAACTGCCATATCATAGGCCATAGTTGGTCTTTGGGTGGTGGTTTCTGCAACCTTGAACAATAGTCTCCAAGTTGTTCTCTTAGCTCAGAGCAACATTCTTACTTTGTGCAAGGGAAGAACATTCTTGTTACAGACTCTTAGCTCCAATCTGATTCAATGGGAAACATGGATCCAAGTACCAGACATAAGAGGAGGCAAGTCTCTGTGAGGTTTGGTGACCGTTTTTAGGGTGACATACAGGAATTCGAGTGACAAATCTTAGGTGCAGCTGTGATTAAAAGTAAATACGCAAGAAGCAGACTTTGGTTACAAGTTTTAAATAGCTAAGTTTCCTTGAAATATCAGGAACAAACATACCTTTGATATGGTAAACTTTTAAATTATAAGCACTTTCTTTTGCTTTAGTTAGTATTTCCGTTTTTCTTATTTAGGTATTTGAGCCTATTAGTTCACATGTTTATAAAATGTTAATCTTTGTAAAATGTAACTTCCATGGCCATTCAAGCCCCTGAGCACTGTATTCTAAGAAAAACACAGAGCAAAATCTGAAATAATGAGCCAGTTTGATCTGCTCAAAAATTACAGAAGGTCACTGCTGCTTTTTGATAGTAAAGGTTGATTTTCTTTTTTGCAGCTACTGTCCCTTTGGGGGACAGGGCTTAAAAGCTAGAAACACATTGTTAGACAAACATAAATTAATTCACCTGGTTCTATAGCTAAGAAATCAGAACTGCATCACATACCATAAACTTAGATGTATTATTTGTTTTAGTACTTAAATTGTATATGAATATTTTGGCTTCTATGTACTTTTCAGAGATTCTTTTAGTAATTTTTTGGTTATTCTGTACCATTCAAAAAGCTCTTCCTATAAAATAGGACAATAGTCTTCATAAAAGTCTAGCATATTTTTTCCCTACATACTACCACTGTACTTTCAAAGACAAAGGTATTTTGCTAAAAGTTACAAAAATGTATATGATATCCTTTATGTGCTTGAATAATACCTTTTAAGTTGACAAATCCATGAAAGCTGCTCTTAAATAAAACAGAATTATTTCTGGAAGGTGTTTTGGAGAAATGCGGTATCTGAGCATGCCTTTGGAGTTGCACACTGTCTGGTCTTGGTAGGTGCAAACTTGTTTTATTGCCCAGAGTCTTTCCTGCTATTTCTGCTGCCATCTCTGTTGCTGAGTGACAATACCAGCAATGGCACCAATGGAGACACTTCAGTGCCTGCCTAGGAATTCCCAGAAGGCAGGCTTTGCTTCATGAGCTGCCTTATGGTTAGGTATTTGCGTGTTTCTGCATTTGGCCGCTCCTCACCAGCCCCCACCATGAGCAGGCGTGGTCTCCTACACCCAGTAACAGTGTCTGCTCTCGAGCTGTGACAGCAACACCCACAGAAAGGCAATCATTGGAATATTTTTGCTCTGATTACGCGTTCCTTCTCGGTAGAATATTAATGGTGTCACATGGATGTCTTTGGAGACTTGATGAGGGCTAGTAACCCATTTATTACTGATTTAAGATCCAAAACAATGGCTTAAGAAAGAGGCTTGCCTTCTGCTGGTGTAGAATTCACAAGGCTGGCACTCCAGGGCCGGTGTGGCAGTTCTGATAGTAAGGGGATCTCTGGATCCTTTTGTCTTTTTGTTTTGCCTCTTTTGGCAAGTAGGCTGCCATCCTTAAGGTTACCTCAAGGTCATGAATAGCTGCTGAAGCTCCAGCCATCTCCACCAAGTTCTTGGAGTCAGGGACGAGAGAGAGGCAAGGGGGAATCAGCATGCTCAGCCTTCTATTCAGCATTTCCCTGGAAGTCCCATTCAACATTTTTTTCTTCTGTACATTGACCGCTGCTTTTTGTAAGCAAGGCTGGGAAATACAGTTTTATACCTGGGGCGTTACTGTTCCTGACTGTAGGGGTTTGGCTGTCGAGGAGGGGCAGGTGACTTTGAGGAGGCAGCTCAGTTTCTGCCACACCTTCTGCTCTGTGTTCACCAAATCATAGGCTCTGGTGTACATTTCCTGCTTATGCATGTTATAAGGACTAAAACATAGAGGAAATATTAGGAACCTTTTCTAGGCTCTGTACAGTGTGAAATGTGGGAGTTGGAACCCTGCTTCTCAATCCTGAGAGATGCTGCATGCCTATTGCTTAGCAAAAATATATGATGCTGCTGAAATAAAATGTATGGGTAATAATCTATCTTTACATAAAATTTATATATGTTCATATGTAAATTACATATATGTTGCAGTATAAGTGAGAGACAAAAGAAAGGTGACTTATGATAAAATGTGTTTCAGTCTATAAATGCTTGAGTACATACATGCACAGTAGAAGAGAGAAAAATTAGATACTCAGGTTCTGGCCATAAATATAAAAACCATCGTGAATATGGCTACTACAGGTGCAAACCGGGCACGAATTAGATTTAGTGACTCAGGTACGGAGACTGCTGTTACCGTGCTGATCTTTTGAGATGGTAAGTGACCCGTAAAGTCCCAAAGAAAACCAAGCACTGCCTTGCTGTGGTTAACATGGTAATTGCACTCCCAGAAAAATCAGTGTATGTTAGAGTAGGCAAGGAAAAGGAAAAGACAACTTCATGTTTATGTGTTAAATGGCTCCTAGCTCAGGTAGTTACCGAAAGCAGGACAATTTTCATGTTGAAGTAATCTCATGTCCCTGAATCCATCACAGTAAGCCCCTGCCCAGGCCACTCACTGTGCCTCCCCTTCTCACAGTTACTGTCTCAGAAATGCCCATGCAAACTCCAGCGACTTCTGGGGGTGTCCCTGCTTTAGAAGACACACATTTCCACTGTTTTGCTTTTGCACATGCCTGACTCTAACTCATGGTTCGGTTTGTTTGTTTGTTTCTTCCTTTCTTTACCTGTTATCTTTGCTTACGTCAGCTTGGCTTGTTTTTGCTAAAGTTTTGCCCTCTTGACGTATTAGATTAATTTTAACCTACGAAGGGCAGCCTTCATAAGCAGCAGTCACCACTTCCAGCAAAGATCTCAAAATCAGGTGTGGGGGGGATGTTACATTCCAGCATGACTTAACGTTGTAAGAGGATTAAAAGAAGAGATTAGGAAATTCCACGGGCCTCTCTCTCGCCTCCAGATTCTGGTTGCTAGAGGCTCCCTGTGTTAGCCAGTCCCATTCACCCGCCTTCCCCCCCCCCCGTCCGGAGGGCTGGCCTCTGAACCCTGTTTGTGTTTGTCAAACCTTGCTGACCAGTCCTGAGATACTCCTGTGCACTGCACTTACATTAATTTTAAACATCTTGCTGACTGGTCATGACCGAAAAGTAGCTGGCTGCAGGGGTGAGTTCTGGCTCAAAATAGCCAGTCAGCAAGGTGTTGAACAAGGTTCCTGTTTGTTCCTCTTCCCATAGAAATCCACTGAGGTTTTCAGACTCAGAAGTGTCTGAGCTCAGAGGTCACGGTGATGAGGCCTTACTTTAAGAAGCCCCTGAATCTCACAGCCCAATTACTCGCGTCCTTTTTATTGTCTGATGGGACATGTTGTTTCTACCACATCTGGCTTAGCCATCCCTGTCTTCAGAACCTCTTAAAAATGAAAAAATACATAATGCTTTTCTTTCCATATTCCACCCTCATCTTTTCGTACTTCTTTGGCTAGTCGGAATGCTTTTCATGTAATTCTATTTCGATTTTTGAACTTTTTTTATTTTGTGAAGTAAAATTGCTATCTACGTCAGAAATCTGTTTAGGTACATATTCCTTGCTTACTGATAAATTATTCATTTTTTTTTTTTTAAATTGAGGTTTCAAGAGTCAACATTAAAATTTTGCCCCATTGTGATTATTTTTTCTAACAGTATCTCAAGAGAAAAGTATTTCTTTTAAATTTTAATTTGAGAATATCCCAGCAACGCAATTTTATATCAGCTGACTTATGTCATTTAAGGCAAAATACTATGTTTATTCACCGAGAACAGCATCTACTACAATGCTTTATGATAATGAGTTCTTCTAAGTCAGTGTTTTACCACATTTGGCTTTGTGGTGTCATTGGATAACTGATGGAGTTCTTTATTTTGTTCTTTATAAAATATGCCTTTGAATAAAACTATGGCTTATGTGTGTGTGGAGTGTGTATATGCATGCTTGTGTGTGCACACTCGTCTGAGGGCAGAGTCTGCGGCGTGGCCTGGGCAAAGCTGCAGATCCTGAGCAATCCCTGGTTTTTTATGGCTCCTCTGTTTTGCGGGCAGGTGAGCCAGGACGGGAAGTCGCTCCTCGACAAGCTCCAGCGGCCCTTGACTCCTGGCAGCTCCGATTCCCTGACAGCCTCTGCCAACTACTCCAAGGCCGTGCACCATGTGCTCGACGTCATCCACGAGGTGCTGCACCACCAGCGGCAGCTGGAGAACATCTGGCAGCACCGCAAGGTGCGGCTCCACCAGCGGCTGCAGCTGTGTGTTTTCCAGCAGGACGTCCAGCAGGTGAGTTGTCTGCAGCTCCTCTTAGGGAGTGATCGTGCTGAATTGAGAGTCAGGTGAGTGCGTCCTCACACTGGGCCCATGTGCTGATGGAGTGACTGGAAGATAACAAGGGGAGAAAACAAAATGCACTTTGACATGCATGCAGCTCCTGAGGACTCCCGCTCTGGCTGTTTCCAGCTGCTCACTCCCACGTATGCGCGGAACACGTGAGATGGTGCTGGGCCTTCACGGAGACTCTGAGTTTTGTTCTTGAACAGGTCATTTGCGGTTGTAGTTATTTGTGAGAATAGTGCAGTGGTGCTTATACCAGGGTGTTGTTGCAGTGTAAGGTCTCCGTCCTCTTCCATCGCTTCAGCTCTGAGCTGATCACGCTTCTGCTCCCACCTGGTAGCCTGTGGGGCACAGTAGGTGCTTAAAAATAAAATAGTCGTGTAATGAATGATAAGTGGACTTTTGGTTGTGATTCTTCATTCCTTAAGCAGCCGACATCCCCTTTGTTGTTGTTGTTAGAAAAGTAAGAGTAAACCCAGTCTCCATGCTGTTTTTCTCCCTATTATGGAATGAGAAAGACTGTCCTGCTACAGGGTTTTGAGGATTTAAATGTGGGGGAATATGAAATGCGATTTAGCTCTAGTGATAATTAAGATAATCGCTGTGTCCTTGCTCTAAAGTAGAGGGGGAAACGGGGGTGTGAATGAGGCGTCAGCTCCGGGGCTGAGGAATTCTGGGGGGTGCAAGGGAGCTCAGGCTTCCCGGGGAGCTGGCAGGAAGCCACCGTGATAGACAAACCACCCTCCCCGCGGCCGCTGCCGGTGCTCTGTTCAGACCTGCCGGAGCTCGGATTTCACTCTCTCTGAGCATCATCTGGAGGTGAGTGGGTTTGCTGCCGAATGGGCTGAGATTGTGGAGTCGAGCTGTGTTCTGAACACAGGTTCTCCAGCTTATTCTCCACCCCTTCTCGCAGTGGGAATCTGGTGAGTTCACAGTTCTTTTAACTGTGCCATAATTTTTAATTTTCACGTACTGTGCTTCGAGTCTGCTGACGGTTTTTGAGTTCTCTGAAGTCCCCCGGGCACAGTGCCTCGGGAACCGCGGTTGGATGTGAGTCACGCTTCCTTACAACCTTGTTTTAGTCCAAGAAGTTAATTGCGGGCGGGGGGAGGAGTCGAAGTCCAGGAGTCACTGTGAGAACTGAAGTGGTAAGGGTGAAATCATGAGTACTAGTTTTTCTTCATTGTCCAAAAATTGTCACAAACCCTGAAATAGTAAGAGTTTAAATGGAATTGTTAAAGGATTTTCCTGCCTACCTCGCTGGTTCTTGGATCGAGTATTCATTATGCAGCCGTGGATTGACACATTTTATGGACTTGTGTCTGAAGCAGCAGCAGGGGCTCCCCCTCTTTTCCACCCCCACCTCTAATGGCTCCCCGGACTGTTTATGTCCGGGACAGGCATGAGCAAAGGCAGGCTGTGGGGATAGGCTGAGCTCACAGCCTAGTCTCATTTGGCGCCAAGTACTTAATGCATTTGAATTTGAAAACAGCAAATATTAATTTTTATGCTAGAAAGGTAATTATGGCAATAATGAGGCCAGTTCTTTCAGCTGGATTTTTCTCTCAAGCGCAGTAGGTCGGGTGGGGTGTGAGCAGGAGAAAGTGTTCTGCGGAACACATAATGCTTTCCTGGCCCTGTTAGCCTTCATCGAAAACAGGTAAGTGCTCTGGAAGGGAAAGGTTCTGTTGATTAAATGGTCGAGAATGGTTTGGACTTGTTACTCAAACAGGAAATTGCTGTGTAGGCTTGACTTGTAAATCAGGAGCGAAGGTGATAAGACGAGGCAAAGTCTTCTACTTTGAAGGAGTGCCTAAGATGTCAGAACCAAAACTGTGTTTATGAAACTCAAGAAATTGCAACAGGTGGGCATTTTTGCTATATTGAGCATTGAGTAGGAGAGGAAAGCTGCGAATGAATGAAAAAAAAATTGTAACACGTTAGACGTTGATAAATTTGTAAAGACAAAAACAATAAAAATCCCCAGGAATATAATAAGCCGACTAGAGATGCTGCACGTTTTTGTTTGGTTGTTTTGGATGACGAGGAAGCATCTGTAAATTTTGCTGAGAGAAAAAATGAAAGCAGCTCGCCACCCAGTAGGTGTGGAATGATGACATTTAAATGAAAACAAGCCCCCAAATGGGGCTGCATTTGTCTGTGAAAAAAAATACTTGGAATTATAGATGCCAGACTGTCAACAGTACACCCCCAAGGAAGGGGCCAATGGGAACGTGGCAGGGGCGTTTGATTTTTAAAATGAGTAATTTTGCTTTAGTGGTTAATCTTTTTTTTTAACAAGCAAAGGCAATTTTGTAACTTCTGTATGGAAGGTGTTTAGGATGGGAGTCAGGTGTGGTGGTGTGGGGCAGGTGAAGCCACTTTACATAACACTTAGCATCTGTCCAAATCAAAGGATGGGGTGGGGGAGTGGGAAGACCTGCTGAAGACTTGCCCCGTGCATGTGCTAGCTGCCAGCCAGTATTTACCTCTGTCATGAACTTAAAAATGAAATTAGTGCTGTTTGTGCCATACTCAGATGATCAGATAGTGTGCACTCCCACTGCTCTCTGTGTTCTGTTAGAGCCACCCTCTGTGGATGTTTGGTTGAATTCATGAATGGCCCGGTTACTGCTAAGCAGCGTTTTTCTGTTGAGAGTATGCTTTATTTTACTATAACAAGGTAATTTATTTCTGTTGTACTCATTCAAATAGGATGATAGTTGGGAAGCAGGATGCTGTCAAACTCGTTTTCCCACTCACCAGTTCAGCTCACCAGCCCTTGGGTGGGTGAGAGCTAGTTACTCCTACAGGTGGGTGAGGTGACCACACTGTGCAGGCTGGTTTCCCTTAGAGAAGCCCCTCAAGAAAGGGAGACCTTCCACTTAAAAAGCCTCTGGCTTCCCCTGCAGGACTTCTTGTGTGTGAGTGTCACCCCTGCTGAGTTATCTCTTAGAAAAACTCTCTCCAGGTTAATGTTGGGCTATTAACTAATGTTTTGAAAAGATGGTCAAGCAAATCCAGTCCACTCTAGCTTCTTCTCATTCACACTTCATTTTTATTTTTCAAAGTATCTTAATTGAATGTGTAACATTCTGAGATGTACAGAGGTGAAAATGTTGGCTATCTCAAAGTTCCTTTTCTCGAGGAGTTACAATCTAGGAAGAGTAGATGGCTAATGGTTAGCACTTAGGTCTTTGGCTATTGTCAGATGTACTTTTGCTGAGGCACAAATTTGAGTCATTTCTACCAAGGCATTACCCAGAGTGAGGGCATAAATAAAACTAGGTGCCCTCATCTGTTACCTTCCCGCCTCATGCATGCGCACTCAGGACAGATCTGTGCATTAGCCACTTGTGCAAATTTGGAGGTTCCTGGGAGTCGTCTCCGTATTGCTCTCCAGAGTCAGGGGTCTTGTTCATCCAGAACGTGAAGAGCCCTGTAATAGAGGTGCAAGCAGCAGCTGCTGGGCACCAGGAAAATCGCCATGGGAGAGGCAAGGTTTGAGCTGATCTCTGAAGGATGGGTAGAAGGTTAGTAGGTTGAGGAATGGGCAACGAGAATTCCAGAGAGATGAAAAAGCAGGGCCTGATCTGAGAGCAGCAGGTGGCCTGTGTGGAGAGAAGGGAGGCACGAGCTGGGGCTGGTGCAGGAACGGTGACCTCCGAGATGTTCCTGTAAGATTTAGGATACCATTGCAGGGACATAGCGAACGAGTGCGTGAATTGGTGCCAGGGCCTGGAGGGATGTGTGAGTGGCTGTGAGGGAACCTCTGTGTGGCAGCGGGCTCACCTCGATGCCTGGTGGGTGCTCACTCACGTGTACGCACCTTTCCTCTCTTAGTGCTCACTTGATGCTCACAGCCAACCTGCTGAGGAGTGAATGCTTTTCCCATTTCACCACATCGAGTTCATGTTGTGAGGGGCCTGTATGTGGAGCATTTTGACTTGGAGCTGTGGGCAGAGGGGGGTGGATGACATGAAGCTATTTGCCTCAGAAAGGTTGCTCTGGTTGCAGTGTGACAAGTCAGACTCCAGGTGAGGAGACAGATGAAGTTCCCATGTGGGCATCCATGCAAGTCATGGAGAAGTCTCAGCAGAAATGTGAGGTTCACAGGGGCAGTGATCTGTGTTTTTCTTCCTGGTGTTTCCCAAGTGTCTGGGATGGTAGATGCTCAGTATTTGTTGAGTGAGTTAATGAAGACATTTAAGGAATTCTGCTAAAAGATTCTTTTGGGCTAAACATTTCTTCATTTATTCTGGAACAGGGAAGAGTTAGCCTTACATTGGAATCAAGTGATCCAGCTGGGAGATCTGCCCGAAGAGCAGGAGCTTTGGTGGATGTTGGGGAGATAGGGGTGGGTGAGGAAGGAAGGGATAATCTCAGTTCATGGGAATTTTGCAAGTGTGGTGAGATCTTTAAAATATTAAAGATTTTGACACTTAAAGGCAGACTGAGGGTCTTAAAATGGACTTCTAGAAGGGGGAGGGAAGTCAGGATATGACACTTAAAGGCAAACTGAGGGTCTTAAAATGGACTTCTAGAAGGGGGAGGGAAGTCAGGATATGCCAAAGAGGCAGATAAAGAGTTTTCAGGTCTACAGAGAAGCAATTTCACAGGTTCACCCTGGGTCCTAGGCTGCTGTCCTTGCCAGTAAAAGTCGTCTTTCTATGATGCTTGACTCGGGGGCTCTGTCTAGGTTGGCACCAAGTACACGGGACCATGCTCTTAAGTGAAGTTTCCTGAACGTCATTTGTCCTTCGCTCATGAAATCAGGAAGGTGGGTTTTTCTCATCCCACTCATAAGAATCCTTATATAACCCAGCCGTTGAACATTCTTTTCTGTTTACAGCCCTGTGTTCCCAGCTCTGATTGTGGCTTTTGATAAGAGTGGTTTAGAGGATTGCTGTCTTTTCTGAGAGTTTCTCAGTTTGGATTAGGAAGTACTG